TACCATGGTGAACATGGACTTTGTTCTGAGGTTATTTAACAAAGATTTCATATGTTAATTTCAGGACTCAATGATATTCTACACCTACTAGAAATGCTAGTTGAGGACAGGCTCCAAAGCTACAGAGAAACACTGAAGCTAGATCTCAAAAAAAAAAAAAAAAAAAAAAAAAAGAGGCAGTTTTCAATTTTATTTTGTTTTGAAAGCCTGGGATCTAGAGACTCGCTCTTGAGTTTTTGATTGTAAAATTAAGTAGGAACAGATGTTGGCTCTAAATGTAAAAGTGGAAAGATATTATTAGGAGCTTTCAAGGATTGAAAGAATCCAACCAAATAACACTAACCTAAGCTAGAGGTCGACTCTGTGGAAGCCCAACTCATGCTATTCAAGTGAAGTCACACTTACCTCATCATACATGAACTGCAGAGTCAGGGCAGACTTGCCCACACCACCACTGCCCACCATGATGACTTTGTGTAAGGCCAAAGAATTCTGACCCTTGGGTTTATTTGCGGCCATCCTGTTTCCCAGAGTCTTCAGAGGATTAAGAAGAATCTAAGACAAATGAAATAGGTAGGGCTCAGTACACTCCTTAGAATTCCAGTGGAGGAAAGAAACACAATGTCCTTAGAGGGAGAATCATCCATCAGAGAATGCAATAGCAATAAGACAAGACTGATTCAAGGGCATTATCTTCGAATAGATTCTGTAATGAATGAGCTGTGACCAAATGTGAACATTTCCCAGGGCAACCACATGCTGGTAATAATGGGGTATTAGTTACATTGGAATATCTTCACTCGAGTATGAGAACAGGCTAAAGGGTTATTTTGTTTTTGTGTTAATTCATATGGGCAGCACTTAAAGAAATGTCCCTCCTAATTTCAGTAAGAAACAGAGACTGCCATTTACGTTAAGGACCTCCTTGGAAAGGCTTGCTGTAAGTGAAGAAATCTCATCCAAGAACTGGTAACAGTCTTACAGATAGGATCCCGGCAGTGTGTAATTCAACAACCATGCTATGAGGACATCTGTGGTTTTGAGAGTAATCAATATAACTTGACTGCTTTGATATAGCATGCCCTCCCTTTCCTTAGAACATTCATTTTACTATATTAAGGCTCACAATGTGGAGTCCAGATTCTTTTTTTTTTTTTTTTTTCCAATAAATCTTTCCTCTTTTCCTCTTTTAAAAAGATTTTATAGTGTTTGTGCCGGCATGTTTGTCTGCAGGCCAGAAGAGGGCACCAGATCTCATTGTAGATGGTTGTGAGCCACCATGTGGTGGCTGGGAATTGAACTCAGGACCTCTGGAAGAGCAGCCAGTGCTCTTAACCTCTGAGCCATCTCTCTAGCCGGAGTCCAGATTCTTATAGAAGCTGTAGTGGTGATGGGTGCTAAGTGTGGTGATATTTTATTTGTACTGAAATGTTATTTTAATTTTATATTAATAAATAAAGTTGCCCTGGGGTCAGAGCTATTAGAGCCATAGTAAGAG